CCACAGGGACAGGCGAGACCCGCTCTCCCTGGTCAGCCTTCGGAAGAGGAACCTGGGCTCCGGAGACGAGGGCGTGGCGTCCAGGATAGACAACTACAACGCCAAGGCCACGCGGCACATCTCCCTCACCAGGCACTCCCAGTGCCACCCGATGCCTCCCGGGGAAAGGACCGCGCCTGACACCCCTGGGTCGTGAACAGGCTGAGCTCACTGGTTTCCGACTTGCAAGCTTGGGGTTGAAGTTTAATAAAATCGTCCATTCCTCCGTGACCCGCGCAGTAGAAACCACCGACATCATCAGCAAACACCTGCCAGGTGTCTCCACGGTCAGCACCGACCTGCTGAGGGAAGGCGCCCGCATCGAGCCTGACCCGCCCGAGTCTCACTGGAAGCCGAAGCGGTGCAGTATTATGCAGACGGAGCCAGGATCAGGCCGCCTTCCGGAACTACACCCACCGGGCAGATGTCAAGCAGCAGGAGGACAGTTACGAGATCTTCCTATGCCACGCCAACGTCACCCGCTACATCGTGTGCAGGGCGCTGCAGTTCCCTCCAGAAGGCTGGCTCCGCCTCTCCCTCCACAATGGCAGCATCACCCACCTGGTGGTCCGGCCTGGCGGCTGCGTGGCACTCAGGGCCCTCGGGGACACAGGGTTCATGCCTCCAGACAAGATCTCCCGCTCCTGAGCCCCGCCCTCACTCGTGCCCGGCTCTGGCATGGGAGCCGCCAAGAGCACGGAGACCGTGCCTCCGTCCAGTCCACAGGCTGCGCTGGGTCACCTCATTTCTCTAGGACCAGGCGGAGGCCGGGTGAAGTGTCTCAATCGCCACGTGTCATTCTGGCCCAGGATGGAAAGGGGAACGTGCTGGTCCTTTGGCGAGGTTTCCTGCCCTAGTCTCACCCCAGGAGCCTGTGGGGTGAAGGCCTCCTCACAGGTGTCACTGTGGGGACCACAGCACCTGCAGTGGCCACACGACCCCTTGAGGCACTCAGCAAAGCCCGCCGGCACCAGGGACTTGGAGAGCCCAGCATTTCCATCCATAACTTATTTCACTTCGTACATTCTTCACATTCTTAAATCCTTTCGTCACTTTGTCAAATAAAGATGTTTCCATCTGGTTCTTGGGTTGAGAACCAATGTCTCACTCCCACAGTCTTGCATCCCTGATGCTGTTGGGTGTGAACACACCTGTGTTATTAGGCCTCTCTGGACACAGGAACACCTGGGCAGGGGAGGGGATGCCACCTGCTGGTTTCACAGGAGAGGGGCCAGGTGGGGACAGCCAGAAGAGTCCTGTTTAAGTAAAATAGCTAGCTGACAGCTCATTCTGTTTGCCTCTGGCTGTTAAACTTTCATGCTTGTGGATTAAAATATTTGAACAATGATGTGTCCATCCCAAATATTTGCAAAAACAGTGTAATTTCTATGAAGTGGTTATGAACATTTTCTGCAGTGCAACTAAATGGGATGTCTGATCCATGTCTGTCAACTTTGGAAATAACTACAAAATAAAACTTTATTTTACTGGTTAAAAAAAAAATTAAACATACACTTATTCTGACCCAGCAATTCAGTTCTCAGATATATATCCAAGAGAAATAAGTATATACATCCAATGAAAGACTTCACGGTTGTTCACAGATTTATTCATAATAGTCAAAAACTGGAGAAAACTCAAATGCAATTGACAAGAGAATCCTATATAATAAAGATGTAATATGCAAATAGTCATTACATAACGACCGACTACATAATGACCAGATCACAGATCAGCAGGAGGGTGGGGCAGCGAGCTACAAGTGGGCAATGGAGAGCTGCAGGAAGGGGAAGGGCAGCAAGCTATGACGGGAGGAGGCATGGGGAGGGGGGTGGGGGAGCTACAGGAGGGCAGCAGGCAGAGAGCTACAGGAGGGCAGCAGCAAGCTACTGGTGCACAGATTCGTGTGCAGGGCTACTAGTGAATAAATAAAGAGTGATCTACTCATGTAATGGGATACTATACAGCTAAAAGAAAAAAACAATGTTACGTAGATTACTCTCACAGATGTAATGATAAGTCACATACAAAAGAGAACATATATGTTATTTCATTGTTTTGAAGTTCAAGAACAAGCAGAATCAGAATAGTGGTTACCCCTAAGAGGAGGCAGGTAAGAGAGGGCAAAAAGGAGTCTTCTGGGATGTTGAAAATATTGTACATCTTTTTTATTTGGTTGGTGGTTATATGAGTGTAAATGGATATAAAAATTCAAAAGCTGTACACGAGAAAGATGTATACTTTCTTGCTGGCAAGTGGGCCTTCAATGTATGTATACCCTTTAACCCACCCATTTCACTTTTCCTGAAATGAGGATGTTCATCACAGTGTTATGAACAAATTTGAAGCAGTCTGCATGTCTGAATAGTGAGTTGATTCCATAAATTATGAAGTATTCATACAAAGGATTACAATGCAGCTCTTAAAGTTGCTATAGAATAGTTGATGCATAAAAATGTTCCTAAAAATCATGTTCGAAGTATGTTATTTTCATAAAATGTCATATCTGTGTTTTAACCGCATGGACAGGAATCTTGATTAATCATGAAAAGGGGATAGTGATGGCCCATCACAGCTGCCTGTGCAAGGAGACAGACCCAACACCCCTGTGTCCCTCCCCTCCCACATTTAGAATCCCAGCCAAATGTCTGCAAAGGTGGAAGAAGGCCATCAGGGACCCTGTGGTTTTGACAAGTCTCCAGACTGTGGAAGGGGGACTACAGTGGTGGGTAAACAGGCTCGGGGGAGTCCAAGCACAGAAGGCTGGGGAGCACGCTGCATGGGGAGAGAATGTATCCTCGTATCCTTCTGGGTGGACATGGGGAGACCCTGAGTTCCATGTAGAGTTTCCTACAGAGAACAGCAGTACAAGTCGAGTCAGTATTCAGGGATCTTAAAAGACTATTCTAGAATGACGCTATTAGTTGGTCCCATCCAATAAGACACCTTACGAGTTAATTTGACCATAAAAATTATGAGAAAATGTTAAATAACTCTACTCAGTATTAATGGCAGTGTGGAAAACTAGGTTAATTGATATCCTCATATATTGTTGGTGGGACTACCTCCTGGAGAAGCCTTTTAGGAAGGCAATTTGTCAGTACTTATGAAAATGTTAAATATATGTATTCTTCAACCAGCAATTGTACTTCTGAATTTTAAATGTCTGTTCTACTCAAGGGGGGAGGGAGGGCAAAAAGACCCATGTTACAGGAAGTATATCATGGCATTGTTTAGAAAAGCAAAAAAATGTAATAGTGATTAAAACTCTGTAATGATTATTTTGAAATAATCATGTCAGTATGAAACTCATGACTTCTCATTTTAACTTCGGAACTGGCTTTTTCCACAGAAAACACATAGAAGCACAGATTCTCTCAGAGCAATGAGGACACCTGGTGACCAGAGCTTGCTTTGTGAAAGCTACCAAAAGGAACCCCGTAGGTTCCAGAGCTGGGCTGGGAAAGTGGGAAGCTCCATGTTACAGGAAGTACATCATGGCATTGTTTAGAAAAGCAAAAAATGTAATAGTGATTAAAACTCTGTAATGTAATGATTATTTTGAAATAATCATGTCAGTATGAAACTCATGACTTCTCATTTTAACTTCGGAACTGGCTTTTTCCACAGAAAACACATAGAAGCACAGATTCTCTCAGAGCAATGAGGACACCTGGTGACCAGAGCTTGCTTTGTGAAAGCTACCAAAAGGAACCCCGTAGGTTCCAGAGCTGGGCTGGGAAAGTGGGAAGCGAATCTGGAACTTGTTGTGTGGCAGTAATTAAGCAAGATTCAAAGAACAGTGGAGACATACCAGAGTTGGAACAAAGGAAATGCAACCGGCCAATCTGGACAATTGAAAATCAACAAGAGAAGAAGGACTGTAATTGATTTTAACACAATGAATAAAATATCATGAGTTAGTAGTCAGAGAGAGGGAGGAGGACAATTGAAATCAACAAGAGAAAAATGACTGTAATTGATTTTAACACAATGAATAAAATATCATGAGTTAGTAGTCAGAGAGAGGGAGGGAGGGGTGAAAGGAGAAAGCAAGCCCAAAAAAATCTTAGTAATTGTTGAATTTAGATCAAGTGTATAGGTGCATTTGCTTTACTACGTCATTCAATGATGTTATATGTCTAAAAACTTTACATATATGAGAAAAACAATAAATAAAACTTAACAGAAAGCAGATAACTAAAATCCATAAAAATAAATCTTAAAGCCAAATAATGAATGAGCTATCTACTAAAGAGCAGAAAAACCTCTTCATCAAGACCAATAAAAATTAAATGAGACTTCATTTCTAGACAAAATAGAGTAACTAGGACTGATCAGTCCACACGAAATAAGAACAAAATTAAAGAAAAGGACAAATTATATGAAACTCTGGCTCCAAAAGGGGTGAATGAGCTACCTACTAAAGAGCAGAAAAACCTCTTCATCAAGACCAAAAAAATTAAATGAGACTTCATTTCTAGACAAAATAGATTAACTAGGACTGATCAGTCCACACGAAATAAGAACAAAATTAAAGAAAAGGACAAATTATATGAAACTCTGGCTCCAAGACCCTGGATAGAGTGAGGTCCCTGATTTGAAGGAGTGGAGCTGGGCACTGGCGGGGGGCGGCGGTGCCTGGCTGCTGGAGTTTGCAGGGCGGAGGGCCCAGGGGAGAGTTGCACGGAGGGAACTCTGAGGACTGCAGAGAGTTCCCTCCAGTGTTCAGTTGAGCACTGATTACTGATCAGCACATGTGTGAGGACACTGCCAGAGGCTGGGAGAAAACATTTCTCAATAATGCCTGTTCCCAACATTCAAAGTGGTGGCCTCATCATTCACCGATTGTGAGCATCAATTAGAGTAAGGTATTAGTTTCTCCGAGCTGCTGTAACAAATCATCACAAACAGGGTGGCTTAACACAACAGAAATGCATTCTCTCACAACCCTGGAAGCTAAAAGTCTTAAATGAAGTGTTGGTAGGCTCACTCTGAAGCTGTAGGAAAAATCCTTCCCTACCTCTTTCTACCTTTTGCTGTTGTCATGGCCTGACATGCCTTGCAGCTTACCACACCAGTTTCCCCTCTGTTTTCACACAGCCATTAATCCTGTCTGTCTCCGTTTTCTCTTCTCATTAGGACACCAGTCATTGGATTAGGGCACACTCTACTTCAGTATGACCTCATTTTAACTGATTACATCTACATCACATTCTGAGTTTCCGGGTTGACATGAATTTGGGGCGGGGGGGGACAATGTTCAACCTTATAAACGAACTAAGAAGGGTCTTGCCTCAGAAGTGGAAAAAAGTTACCCCTAGACTAAAATGCTGATTTGGTCATCTATTTAACTGATTACATCTGCAAAGACCCTCACATTCTGAGTTTCTGGGTTGATATGAATTAAGAAGGGTCTTGCCTCAGTAGTGGAAAAAAGTTACCCCTAGACTAAAATGCTGATTTGGTCATCTCTAACAAAGCTTAAAAGCAAGACCAAAAGGTTCAAACTACTTGTAACTCAAGTGCATCCCAGTACAAATTTCAAGAATTTCGTTAGTCATACAAAAATATGCACCAACTGACAAGGTAAAATTCACAATATCTGGCATCAATATAAAATTTTATTTGGCAAAATCATGTCTAAAATTT